AATAGGCTTCTCTATGACTCCCAATATATTTCCCATTTTGATCATAGGTGGATTATTTTTGACTTATATTGTAGACTCTTCCTTTGAAGGACTGCTCACTAATCAGTTGTCCTTTAAGTCAATAATTTTTGCCAAAGCCCATAATTTCATTAGTTTTTCTCAAACTGCTTTTCCAATACCTAAAGAAATTTCTGAATCTTTAAATTGCACTGTGTTCTTGGGTAAAATGCTGCAGAATCAGAGTATCCATGGGTCATCCAGGACCCTTAAATTTATGTCCAATTTCTGAAGATTAGAAATGCTACTGGTTTTTTAGAGTCTAAAGGTAGATCATGACTTCCCAGACTCAATAAGTCACTCCACTTGTCTTTCAGTCATTCCCTTTTTCTTCTTTCAGGCTGGAAAAACCACATGCTATCAGCATTTTTCCATTTCTTCCTTATTCTGATAGGAATACAGACAATATTTCCTACTTTGACTATTAAAAAACTTTGCAAGGAAGCTGCATGTTTCCTGACAGGCATTACTGCCTCAGTGTTGCTCTTTTCAAAGAAACAGTTACTGATCTGATTATGGGGGCTGTTATGCTAGGTAGTATGCAAAGATGGAACTTTTAGGATGGTTCTTACTACAGAGTTGTTACAATTTAAGGTTATAGTTTTCTCTTGAGTGGCCAGTGCTCCTCTGAATCTACTACTTCCTCGTAATATCTGTTGTCTCTAGATTATTTTGTAAAATGAGATGTGTCCCATTTTTTCCAATGGTCAAACTTGACAATTCTGTCTTGAGAAGGATTGATGTTACAGTGTCTTTACAGGGTGATTTACTAACCTTTTCTTGTACTGGGATAAGTGTTCCTTTTTCTGAAGATTTCTCTCCGAGGAGATTAGAGTTTAATTGAATGTCTGCTTAAGGAGACTTTCTCCCTAAGAAGAAACCCCTTTTTCAGTGATAGGGAGATGTTCTTTCCCTCTTGCATTCCAGAGAAAGGCTGCCCCTGTAGGCAGATCCCTGCAATGTGGACAGATAAACAGATGTTACAGGCAGGCACAGGAGAGAAGACAAGGAAGGAAAGGGGCTGGAAGGAGACAGGAGTTTGTGTCTTTTTCAGGCCCAGCACTGCTTTGCAGGCTGGTGCAGTTTTCTCTTTGTAATTTTTTTATCATTCTCATCTTCAGGATAAACCTTTTTTGATTCTTTCCACTGCCTTGGCATTTTGGGGGGATACCTGTGTGTATCTTACTCTACACCACGTAAGAAATTTGTATGCTCCATTAGCTTTCCTTCTTTCTGCTTCTGTGGAAAGTGATGTCTCTTCACATTCATAAGCAGGAACATCCAAGTGAATTGGAACACACTGGTGATTTGACAAAACAATTCCTTTTATCTGCCTATAATTCCCAGAGAAAGTACAATTGAAATCTTTCAGAGGGGATGTGCATTACAGTCCCCAGTTTCTGAGGTAGCATCTGCCATTGTCATGAGGTCCAACTTGAGATGTCTTCTGTAGAAATTAAAATTTCCCTTAAGAAAGAAGACAGGCTTTAAAAAAACCCAACAACAAACCCAAAACAACACAGGATGAATACCAACCAACCAACCAAAGAAAAATCCCCAAAACAACCTCACCAAGATGACACAGCACCCTCTAATTCTGTCACAGCTCTGGATGCACTGTGAATCCAAAAGTGCTAGTAGACTCATTGTTTTTTGGTTTTTTTTTTTTCTGCAGGCCCATGTTCTATGAACTTGAGTTCTACATTTAATTTTAGGATACTTACAAGACCCTGTAATTTCTACTGTATTTTGGAATAGTTTTCTTATTTCCCCTTATTTTTCTTGGAATTTTTTCACCTGCATTTACAAAGCAATTAGTGAATAAAGTTTGCATTACCTGTCAGAGACACATAAAAGGTAATTTGGATTCCAAGAGCAGTGATGGCTGTACAATTGCCTGGACATGCTATTACAAGTTCGCTGGAAAGCAGGACAGCTTGGTAACTGAGAGCATGAACCTCTTGGTGCCCAGGCATAGGTTGTCTGCTATTAGATAGACTATAGCCTATCTATATTATAGTCCTAGTTCTTGTTAGACAGTGTGCTATGTGATATTTTGTTCAAGCTTCTGCATAACAGCTTTGGGTCTTCTGAAGGTGCTATGTGCCTTAGTGTAGCTCTCAAAAGAATTAAATAGAGATAACTTACAGTATTTTGGTTGAAGATAATGCACACACTATGGCAGTTAGTTGGAATGTCATGAATATGTCCAGCAGTAAATTGGAGATAGTCTAGATGTGTCATAGTGGTTTTGTGGCCGTCTAAAACATGAAAAAGATGCACAGAGGAGTTGTTGCCTGTCATGTTTTTCTACCCATAGTCATTAGATGCTATGATTGCACTAAGATTTCAGAGCAATTCTCCCAGGGCATATTTTATGGGGTTTCATTTATTGGGAAGGTGAAAAGTTCATTTATTTAAGAAGCTGTTGCTAACTATTCAAAATAATATTTAAGCTGTCTTTGGGGTAATCCTTTATGACATACTGAAGAAAAATTTCCCACTTCAAACTATCACTTAACTATAATTCACAATCACCAGAGTGTAGTGATGATCTACAGTTCCCTTTATCTTTATCATTCACCTTTCTAAGCCTTCTGTGCTTCCAAAGCTTCTGCTTGGAACACTATGTAATGTTGCAGCTGCACTGGTAGAGATTTACCTGTCTTTTCTTGTGCACTCAAAGTAATCAGGAAAAGGAGTCCTAGAAGTTGTCTTGAATATCTTGAAAATATAAATGCCTTTGTCCAATAGAAAACAGCATTACTCGCATTCATGAGTTTGAGGTTGGAGGCTGCAGCTGAGTTAACTTGTGTGGGTGCATAAGTGGGTGCTGCCTGAACACAGGTTTAAAGTATTTGGTCCTAAAATAGCATGTACAGCAACAGATGGGAGCAAGCAACAATACCAGTAAGAAATACTGAGGACAAATATGATTTATGTTTACAGCATCTTTATTTTTTTTGGAAGGAGAAATGATCTCTTGTCTGTTAGCAGTCCTTCTTGATGCCCAGGATGCTCTCAGAAAAGTTAGCTATCTTGGTTTGACAGGTCATTCACAGGTGTCCTTGTTTGATGCACCTGATTAATAAGATCAAATCTCAAAGTGTTTATGCTTGCATGCCTGAGGTCAAATCTGTAGCAAGTGTTCCATAGGAGTGCCAAGTTCCGCTTCAAGAATCTGAGCAGTAATACAAATTTTTAGAGTTAGCAAAACATAATAATCTTATCAGTTTTCAACAGATGGAGGTTGGGAAGAAAAAGAATCTTGTCTCAACATGCCTATTTCTTACCGTTAAGACTGAAAGTTCATTTTTACATCTGTGTGATCATTCAACTCACACAGAAAACTTTTCTGATAATACATAAAAGGCAAAACTGACCACATCCTTATTCTTTAAATGTCCTTTTAAAGATGCAAAAATGCTATGCAAACCTTTGTTTTATCTTTTTAGATCTCTTCTGATAGTAGGGAGACCGTTTGTAGTGGTATCCGGCCCTTCTAAAATCCAAATGTCCCAAGTCTCACATGGAAGTTGGACCTCCTGAGATCTTTACCCCAAAGACCTTTCACTAAAGATCCAGATTCTTTAGTTATTCATTCTGCATTGTTGAAGTTAACCAATTGAAACAACAAAAGAACAGAAAGAACATAGCTTCCACAAAAGTCCATAGCTAAAAGAGAAGCCTAAATTTTAGGATATATCCAAGTAGGAGAATGATCTTTTTCTGACCTTCCTTTGCTTAAAACTCATATTTTAGTATGTATGCTCTAAAAAAATCTGAATGTCTTATTCCTGTGCACAACTCCTATCACAGCGGAAGCATTTTTGATAATTTGTGTTATCTTGTGGAATCTCTTCCAGGTTAACATTGGAGGTAGTGAATCATGTTAGTTTTGTATATATGTGTATGATAAATTCATTGTGGTAAATATGATTCTTCAGTTTTAATGGCATGTTCAGAAGATAAGTGTTACATGATATGACTGGTACATTATAGTAATCTGGTGACCTATATAATGTTTTGATTTATATTTTGTTTGCTTTTGCACTCCCATAGAATGGTAAGGAGTCACTTCTATGAAGATCTACATGAAGATTTTGTTTTCAAGTGATTTTACTTAGCAATAAAATTAAATTGGATTGACATAAGTATGTTCTGTGACTTCATGTTGATTACAGATTTTTTAATCAGACACTTTGTAGAAAGAGAACTCTATTTTAGGTTTAATTTTTTTTATTTAATTTTTAAATTTAAATCAAATAGATACTTCTGATTTCCTGAAGGTCTATATACATCTTCTCTCCCTCTGTTTGTAACATGCACACATTTCGAGGTAAGTGCCAGAGGCATTGATTTTCACTCTAGGAGCGCATCACTACCTCCTTAATGATTGCCTCCCTGGAAGCTGATGAGAGTATTTTCCTCCTGCACTTAAAGAAAAAAGTCTTATCCAAAGCCCACTGAAAGTGGTGAGAGTCTTTTAAAAATACTGTGTCTTTGGATCCAAACCAAAGACAGATATGCCTCCTAGGTTACAACCTATCAAGGCAACCTCACCCTTAATGCTTTGAAATGCATATGAGGTAGTGAAGATTTTGTTGTTGTTGTTGTTGCACAGTGAGGATACTTCTGAAAATAACTCTCAGCTGCATTCCCCCTTCCCCTATGAGATTGATAAGGTGATTTTGGCTGGATTTTTTTGATATTGTGATCCTGTAATATTGTACATAAATGTTTTTCTCATAATTCACTTCCTCACAGTATTTGTACTCCATTGGAATTAAAATAGTGAAGTGTATTTATGATTCTGTAGATGTACAAATAGAATAGCTGTGCTTCACTTAATAGCTGTTTGTGACATGCAGATGAATGAGTAAAAAAGCAGAACCAAAATCTTTTAAATGTCTTGAAAATCATGCATTTTGTTGTCTTTTCAGGGACCATATCTGTGAACACATTACGTACACCATATACTGCACCAGGGGAAAGTGAAATCCTTGACTTGGATGATGACTTATATCTTGGAGGCTTACCAGAAAATAAAGCAGGCCTCGTCTTCCCAACAGAGGTGTGGACAGCACTTCTCAATTATGGATACGTCGGCTGCATTAGAGATTTATTTATTGATGGTCAAAGCAAAGATATTCGACAGATGGCTGAAATTCAAAGCACAGCTGGAGTAAAACCCTCATGCTCAAGAGAAACTGCAAAACCTTGCCTTAGCAACCCCTGTAAAAACAATGGTGTGTGCAGGGATGGGTGGAACAGATATGTTTGTGATTGCTCTGGCACGGGCTACCTTGGCAGATCGTGCGAAAGAGGTAGGTTCCATGAGATAACTGCATTTCTGTTTTACAGAATCCTGCACAATGATTAAAAGTGGTAAACTAACATTAACTCTCCTGAGGCAAAAAAAAACATCCTGTTTTTTATTTGATATGAGATGGAACCCTGCTCCAGACTGAAAGGAATAACTCTAGAGGAAAGATCTTAGGGGAGACTCTAAGATGCATGAGGAAGTATCAGTTGCCTATGACAGAGAGTCAGCATTGCTGAGTGTTTCGTAGAAAATACCTCCTTTTTCTCTCATCATACATTGCTGAGTTCTGAAAAGCTTTGTGAAAGCAATTTTAAATAGTATTGCATGGCTATAAGGGTCACATTCCAATTCCAAATGGAGGTCTCGTTCTCTGCCTATTTATGTCAATATCAGTCTGTAATTAAATTTACTTTTGAATTCCACAGCATCACTTAAATCTGTGACCAGAACTTCATCCATGAGTCAAAGCGGAAGAATCAGTGTAGGAACTGATATTTCTTACCTAACTCTTTTTAAAAGGATCCTAGTACCCAAGAAAACTGTTTCTAGTTATCTTAAATCTCTGAGTATCCCTCTTGCCTAGAAAAGGTAACAGTGAAGTTGACAAATGCCATTTATTTTATTGAAAAGGTGGATAGTGGCAAGGAAGGCAGATGTTGAAATTACTTAACAGGTAGAAAATCCTGTAATTAATTTAAAATTATGGAGTGTGCTAACAAAAGATTTTAATGTAAGTAGGCAAATAATAAAAAAGTGTAGTTAATATTTTAGGTGTTTATTTTTATTCTTATTGCAATAGAAAATGTGTCAATGGCAGAAGTTGTATTTTTTCATCCTACATTCGACACAGTAGAGATTCTCTTCAACCTGAAATCTAAACCTAAAGTTTGTTGACTGGAAAGGTAATTTTTTTTTCATCTAGTTTGATTATTTTTTCTAGCTAGTCAGAGGAAACAAAAATGGTTTCTTTAAAAACAAAACCCTAATGAAAGTTTCAAAGTTGTATGTAAATAGATACGTGCATTTATGTAGTATTAATACCACGATATGACTAGCATTTGCAAGAAAATTCTCCGATTTTTCTCGATTTTTTTCCTGCCTTATTTTCTGACAATTTATGCCTTTGGCTCATGGCCAGTTATTCTGAGCTCTCCAGATTGTTGTTACTGGTGGAGTGGAGCTGGCAGAGGGCACAGCCGAGCTGCCTGAGCATCCCCGAAGCCTTCTGTTAAACATGGCTGGTGTACCACCCTGTGGCCAAACTCTCCTATTACATAGGGCACAAGCGAAAACCGGATTTGCGGTTTTTTCCAATGAAAAGCCGGAAAACATGTGCGTTAGAGGCATAAACACGCGCAGATCTGCAAAGAACTTCAAAGCGGGTTTCATCATAACAAATTCCCGTAAATATATTGGACAGGTGGTGATATTTTATATAGAAAACGTTGTCTTTTTTATTTCCCATGCCTTATTTTCAGTCACTGTCCAGTTTAAGGCTTCATTTTCCCGGTGCATGCCCCCAGTGGGAATGGTGGCACTATAGTGGTGGTGTTGGCTTCTCTACAATAATATTTGGTTCTTGTCCAACAGAAAAATGTGCGGCAGTTCAGCAGTATGGGATCATTTCATGCTCTTGGGTTTCCCTCTCCAGAGGAAGCTACACTGAAAGGAGATGCCTTCTCAGTAATATTCATATCCCAAATGGTCATGCATTAGTAAGATTATAGCTTTTGGGATTCTGAAAGCGTCATGTTGGCATCGTACCACACAAAGTTATTATAGCCACTGCCAATGTGCAGTAACTGATAAACTTTTGTATTTGGTGATATAAGCAACACAATTATAATTGTTCAAACCAATTTAAAGAAAATAAGAACATGTTCATTTCAACAAACAATACAGTTTCACAAAGAAAAGAAAGCTTTATAATAAAATATTGGAGATTAAACAACTGGAATATTTAACATTAAGTGATTAAGGTGTCTTCAGTAAACAAAAGCATGTAGCTACTTTTTATTGCCATGATTTATTTTTTGTGCTATTTCCCCTAAAGCAGGAGTGATAACATCCATACTTATCTATACTTGGATGTTTGGTGTACAATACAGAATCTGAAATAATTAGAGTTTATTAGTGCACAAAAACCCTGGAACACCACTTGACCCTATTTTAATTTAGGTATACTTAAAATTACATACATACATACATATATATATATATGTATATATATAATATCCATACCCATTTTATCCTTTTGAAAGTTATTCTTGATTTTACTCTGGATTTTCAGTAAGGTTAAACATCAGTATAATCTGTAGATTGGCTTTAGTAGATTATAGAAACTACAGCAGATGGATGGACAGATGTCACAGCAATATAATTTGGCTTCCTATCTTTCTTTGTAGACCACAGTATGTGACTGCCTCTTGGCAAGGCCTTTTGCAGGTGTATGTTCTTGACTGGATAGCTAGGAACAATGAACAATACTAAAATAATCAAACAGTGATAAGAAAAATTAAGCATGCCAACAAAGATTTATCGAAGTGACATTTCTGAGGGGAAAATATGTTGAAAGTAGAGTGTGTGTAGATGTCCACATTGTGCATGCACAGACACCTGTGTACACACATACCCATTAAAGAAATGTAACTTTCATTCCTTACATTATATCTGGATGCTTTATAATTTAAAATGAAGAAAAATAAAGGTAATATGATGATATATGGTATGAAGAATCATGTGTTCAAAATATTAGAGCAATTCCATCACTGTCTTAACTGATTGGTCCTGTGTGTTAAAGTTCTAGTACCCCTACAATGTGGCTTAGAACTTCAGTCCTGAAATAATACCAGTGTAGGAATTGGGAGAAACCATTTCAACTTCTATTCACATATTATCTAGTAACAAATCACATATAAATAATTGTTTCTATCAGACTGATGGAAAGATTCCCTATGATTCACTAAGTCTGTAGCTTTGGGCCCAGGTGGACTGAAGTAGCTGCCATAGAGAAAACACCAAATGCCTGGGAATAGAACAAAAAATAAATTTCACTCAGTAGCAGCCAATACATATTTGAATACTCACACAATTTCTAGGAGTAAAATGGTATATATCGGGGTGTGTTTTAAGGGCACTACTATTGCTCTACTAATACTGGTAAATGAAACAAGATCAGAGAGCAAACCTGAATACTTGATTACAAGTGATCCAAATTGTTCACATACCTCCTGGAATGACTCTGGACTGCATTGTCTGTCACTTTCTGGGCGAAGTTTGTTTGTGATTTTGGAGATAGCAGACACAGAGAGCGATTTTATGCTTTAAAAACAGCTCTGTGGGCTGCAATACAGTCTTCATATTATTGCAGACACTTTGAAACTGAAAAAGCAAGAAAAAATTAATAATTCTCTCTTTGGGACTTCACAGGCATCACAAGAGGTTCAGAGAAAAAAAGATCCTGTTTTATTTATTAAAATATATGCAGTAGGCATCTGTACTCACCAAGCATCATGTTTTTAAAACAACACAAACCTGACTGCAAAACTTATGAGAAAGAACACTGAAATTCAAGTACCTAGTCCATACTTCTTTCAGTTTAATTTAAATAGGCTGTGAACTGAAGAATAGCATCTGGTTGGAAAATTCTGCCTGTGCCTATAAATATCCGGTTCAGTATTTCTGAGGGTAGGAACAGTTGTAGGTAAGTTTCCAGAAGAGTTGGTGCCTCAGTCTCTTGAGCAATTTAGGTAATTGCAGCTCAAGTGAAAATTAAGGTCCTGAATCCCCTCAGGTCAGTACTAGTCTTTGCATGCTTAGTATTAGGCACAGAGAGGATTGAAGTGTTGTGTGTGTATATGTATATGTAGGAAGGAACACTATCTAACCCTGAAGATTTTAATAAGAAAAAAATCGAAGAAAAAAAACAGAGAAGGGGAACTGACTGGGTTCTTTTTAGGGTTTTGATTTATTTGTGTGTTTTGGTTGGTTGGTTTTTACTTCAGAAGCAGCAAAGGTTTTAATTGTCAAGTTTATAAAAAATATCAAAGAATGAATGTATAAAATACCTTATTATGAATCTTTATATTATGTATTACTGGTTACTTCTTGTTAGTAACTCTACTGCATACACTTACTTGCTGCCACAGAAAAAGACTGTCAGTGATGTTTTACAAGGATTTTCTTGCTATTTTTCTTTTCAATGCTATGAATCCAACATTGAAGTGGTAGTATTGCCGTGAAGACTCTGATTATACAAATGAATAGCAGATTCTGAGCTAAATTTATAGCCTACTATAATTTGATCTAATAATTAAAAGAAAGCTGAACAAGAGAAAAAAGACATGCTGACAATATTTATGTGAGAATATTTAGCCATGTAGATTTCAAATAAAGATGAGACAAACACCTCCTTGGAATTAGTTGGTCCAAAGCAAAAAAAAAAAAAAAAAAAGAAATAAAAATAAAGGGGGCAAAAATTGATACTTAATTTTAGACAAATTGTTCCTTCAAGTTTTGCGTTACTGGTGCCTCTCATCATTCAGCTCACCATCTTAGGAACCAGGCCTTGCAAATTAGCAATTCATTCTTGCCAGTTTTGTGTTTGTTTTTACTTTATTTGTTGTTTGGGCTTTGCTTTTTTCTTTCCCTTGTGATACCTTCGTATTTAGAAAGCCCATGACTTGGAACTCCCTGTATTGAAAGGAGCTAGTTGACATGAGGGAGATTCCTCCTTGCCCAGAGCTTTTAAGTCATTTGATCTTCTGTTCAGTATCCTTGGTCTGTTCTTGGAACATCTGTTTCCAAAATAATTGGCACAGTCTGGTTTAGGAGGATTGAGTATCTAATCACATCAGGTCTGTTCACCATGATGTTAAATACTCACAGGTCATCTCCAATTAAATTAAGACAGTTCCTTCTCTCCTTTTTCTGTAATTTTCTAAAAAAAACTTGGATAATTATAGGAAAGTTGGCAAATTGTAACAGTGCTGATTCTGACAACTTTCTTTTACATTATCTTAAGATAACTTGTTACCTGCAGACTTCCAGTGTTGCTGAATGTTGGATTTGCTTTGTATATGAAAGCCCTCAATACTATTAGTGTGGTGGTTTTTAATAGACCATATAAAAACCCTTTTGTGTTCTTTTATATTAGCATGTAACTTTAGCTTTTTTGCTAGAATTCTTTATCTAAATCTTATTTATCTTGATAAAGATCTTGTGAGCTTTTTATGCACAGGCTAGACAGCTAGATATAGGAATGAGTTGTAATATAACTGTAAAATAGACATAGGAATGAGCTCATGACTTTCACTCCCCACTCCCCTCAAAAGAAAGTAAGGAAGAAACAAACACACAAAAAAACCTAAACCCAAAACCAACAAAGAGAAACCCCAAACAGTCAAAAAGCAAATCACCTTTCACTGAAAACTCTGACATGAAATCTCTTTTCAGACTGTTGCAAGTATTTAACCTGTTTCACTGAAAAATTTTAGGTTTTGAATATGCTGAAATCATCATTACTTGCGTAGCTACAAATCATCAAACCTGTCAATGTGTTCTTCTAACCTGTTACATCTGAGGATTTTCACACCAGTATTAGTAATCCCTTTTTTCCAACATCAAACCCTTTTCTCCAAATTTGTACTGGGGAGGTCTAAAATTCTTTACACAGGAGAAGGTCATCCAGAGAAGCTGCAGATGCCCCATCCCTGGAAGTGTTCAAGGCCAGGTTGGATGGAGTTTGAAGCAACCTGGCTTAGTGGAAAGTGGCCCTGCCCATGGCAGGCATTTGGAACTAGATGATCTTTAAGGTTTCTTCCAACCCAAGCCATTTTATGATTCCATTAATGAAAATATCATCTATCATTTTTGCCTCTTAGAGAATTAGTGGAACATTTTGTCCTTCCATGTATCGTGTAGGCTGGAAGTCTTGAAGAGCTCATCTGTCTTTAACAGTATACAACAGATGCAACGGAAACAGTTTTGACAAACTTAGTTATGATACTTATTAAACTTAGTACCAATATTATTAGTCTTTGAAAAGTTGGGACCGCAGTACACCTTTGTTGTAGAAAAGTGTCTCCATTATACTGCAGCAAATTGAAGCATAAGGAAGTTTCCCACGGGTGTTCTCTGCTGTCTTCTCTTTCTGCTCATTGCTCATTTGGTCTGTTATTGGGCGAGTAACTAACATTTTATTCAGTGAGTTGAGGTGCCTCCAGAATTGCACCTTTTTCTAAGAAAGATTCTGTAGCATTGTGTTTAGATTTCATCATCTAACACTTCAACCATTTCTGAGATGGAGAGTTTTTGAGTTAAAGAATGGAAGAAGCTAGGAGGTCTCTAGTGAGGTAGTGGTAGGTAAACAATCAGATGTCCATAAAAACAGGGCACATTCAGATAGTGCATTTTTGCCAATTGAGTAGTGATTTTAGTTATGAAGAATGGATAGTTTTGTATGTTTCTGCAGAGCCTACTGGTGGTCTGCCTACTGACTGTTGTGTTTGGGTGAAGGGTGTTACTCTTTCACTGCTCCTTCCACCATGATGTGCCACTGTCAACAACCCTGAGAGCCATTTCCAAAGGCTGTGGTGCTTGACTGGCCACAATGTTTGTTTGTCCTGCAAGAAAGGACTTCCTAACACATTTCCAAAATGCATTTCCTTTGCTTTCTAGGAACCACAGTGTCTCCCCGTGAGCAGAAATGCAGTCTTTTTGCTACCTTCTTGTTACCAGCCTGGAAGCTGGGAAAAGAAGACTTGTGGCTGGTTGCTCTGGGCTCTAACAGGCTGTGATTGCTCTGTGTCAGGGCCTCTCGCCGGGAGGGTTTCCTGTAATGTCTGAAAGTGACAGTTGTTTGCTCGTCTCGGGGGTTTTAAGATCTTACCCTCAATATGCCAAGTCTAGTCTCAATCCTCTTGTTGAGGCTGTCGTAAGCTTCATGTACCCATTTTTGATTCTATACCACGGGTTTTGTAGTCACGAAGCAATCTGTGCCCCATCCAAACCATGCTGGGCACAGTTACCCATTTTTAGGAGGCTTTTTGCTAACTGGATGATAATTGTAACTGTGGTGGTAGCAATGCTGATAGGTTTATACATGAAGCATCCTGAGGATGGTTATCTAGGTGAATGACAGACATGGCCTTTTATTAGGCTGTAAGGTTTACCTGAATGTGTTTTACTGTCTTTGACCTACTTTGAGTAGTTCAGGCCTAGTTTTTCAAGCATTGCTTTATATGTGATTTTACTGATCTGGTTGAAGATGACTGGGCCATTACAGAGCAATTTAGTTTCTTTAAAAAGCACCAAGATATGCCACTTAAACAAAATAAAACAAGAAAAAAACCTAACAAAAAACCAAATCCAACTTTGCTTATGTAATAATGAAATGTAATATATAATTTTTCTGTGCTAAGTAAATACACATTTGCCGTCTTATCTTTAAGGAGTTTCAGTAGACAGAGCACGATTCTTAAACAACTGATTTTCTCCTTTATGTTTTCAGAGGCAACAATTTTAAGCTATGATGGAAGTATGTTTATGAAAATACAGCTCCCCGTTGTGATGCATACAGAGGCCGAAGATGTTTCTTTACGGTTCAGGTCTCAGCGAGCTTATGGCATTTTAATGGCAACAACTTCCAGGGAATCTGCAGATACCCTTCGTTTAGAGCTGGATGCAGGACGAGTTAAGCTAACGGTCAACCTAGGTAACAACCTCTTCCTCCAAGAAATTAACATTTTCTTTACATTTTTCTTTTTGCTTGCAAACATTTATGAAACAGCCTGTTTTAACATTAAAAGTAAACTGAAATGATATATAAACACATGTCAATGCAACATTTGCGTATGTACATACACAAATACATGGCCATTATTATAATTTATTTTGTTTTCTTTTGCATTTTTTGTATTCTTTATTTAGTCTTAACATAATCCATCACAATATTTTTGTACTATTGTGTATTCTAAAAAAAGAAGACAAATTCATCAGTGGTATTTTTGGGCTAAATAATTATTCTTCATTGTGGAAGGCTGGTCTCCTTCCACAACTTCTTCGCAGTATCAATTCCACAACTTAAATGTGCAAGCAGAAACAACGTGCATGTAGGTCAATTCAGTTTTACCTCCACCAATTAATGTAAAACATGCAAATATATCAAAGACTTTCTAGTTTCAATACTGGAAACATTGCAATTAGATATTCCCACTGATGGATTTCTCGGTCTCCTTTTTTTAGGTGTCAAATCTATAGTAAATCCATCTCCTCTTTTTTAAACAATTCTGTAGTGGTATTTTTGTAGTATCAAACGATAACACAACCCTTCAATGCCCAAAGACTGCGGCCCTCAGCAAACAGCCTTGTGAACACAGGAGGCACAAGCCCTTTTACAGAAAAAAAAATTGGTTTCCTTGTTTAAGGACAAAACGTTAGGGTATGGTTTTCCCTAGTTAAAAAAGAAAAGAAAGAAAGAAAGAAAAGCACTTCTGCCACACTTATGAATAAGTCCGAGTCAGGACCTGAAAGGGAACAGAATTATGCTCAGGAAAATGCACATTTCGTGCAGCCATTCCCATTCAGCAGAATGCTGTTTTTAGAGGGAATTAAGTATTTTATTGTTTTAGTTGCAGATAAATGGTTTCTAGAAAGCATGGGTGGGGGTGAGAAAATAACCGCCCAACCCTCCACTTCACAAAAGTGTTGCTCACTGAAATACTGTCCTGGTGTTTAGCTATCAGAAGGGAGAAGGAGAAGCACAGGGTATCCCAGTTGACTCTTCCCTCGCAGTCCCCTCCAGTGTGGAGCTGGGGCTGCTGCAGGCCGTGGTGGGGAGGCTCCCTGGTGCTTTCTGTAAAGGGGGTGTGCAGGTGCTGCTCCTTGGCTGTTTGCAACCACTTTTCTGATGCGGTTGACGACACATGACAAACTCAGCTATATGGAAACAAAATCTAGGTTTGATGGTATATCTGTTCCTCAAAGGTATAAACCAGGACTAACTGTAAAATCAAGTAGCGTGGTGGAGAGTTTAGATTTATTTTTTCAGCAATAAATAAATGCAGGTAGCTCAGCAGATGATTGTGGACAGATCAGGTTATTCACTTTACATACAAAACACCAGCCTCTGCCTACTTCTATAGTTTGTGAAAGTAAATAAAAAGTAAACAAATCCATGCCCTAGCAATATTGTTCCTTCCTCTGACACCCCTTTTTTTTTCTCTTTTTTAAAGTTTTTTTTTAGTCAGGCAAGAACATAATCTCAAAATATAAAGAACTCTCTTCATTCTCTGATGAATGTTTATAAGTATGTGACTTTTTTTTTTCCTGTGAGTTAATGTAGCTTTAAAGTAACCACTGTTCATTTCTTAAATCTATATATTAAGGATATGTAAACCCACAAAACCTTATTTGTAGACCTAAGTAATGTTAATACTTAGTTTTTGGAGATAAGCCTTTGAGGTATACTATCCACAAGTTGTCCAAGATGTCTGATTGTGGCCTGGCTTGCTCTATGACCCATTGTGACGGAGCACTTTTTAATTGCGTTGAGAGAAATTACCTGTTCTTTCACAGATGGGGAGAAAGTTGCAGCCTGCCTCAGTTAAGCATCTTTGACTTTTAATCCTAATTTTTCACTTAGATTTGTCACCATGTAGCTTTGTTTGAAATTGGCCATTTTTACCCTATTTGTCGTTTCTATTTATAAAGATTTATCGCAGTATATCTGGGTTATAACAGTCTGTAAACACTGATGATATGGAGTGGCCATATTTGCATGTGTCTGTCCCCGGAAGGGTGGACTGTGATTTTATTGGATGTCTGCAGCTATTACCTTGAAGGATAAATTTTCATTTTTCATCTATTCTTCCCCATCTAGACTGTATCAGGATTAACTGTAATTCCAGTAAGTGCCTATTCAAACTTTTTAAAATGTTATTCCACCATTATAAAATATGCAAACTAGATGAAAAAGATTGTGGACAGCTTGCAAGCACTCAATAATTTAGTAATGAAATGTGATGATTAATTATCATTGTGTAAAAAGTCATCATATACTCTAGCACGTAATTTATGTCCTTCCCATAGGACGTAACTTTAGCTAAAATACTAAAAAGTATCCTACAGTTTGTAAACAAACATAGAGGAAATGGTACCTGTAGTACTGTATTATTCTGGATGGGCTATTTTATTTACAGTAGCCATAGAATTTTTGAACCAGCTTTTCTGATAAGCTGTCACACATTTTTTACCCCGTGTCCTCCTTCTAGTTTTCTTGACATTTTGGCTTCAACTTGTGGTGAGACTGTTGGAACATAATTGTTTGTACTACACAAATTTCTATTTATAATCTTCCAAGACAATTAACTATATTTACTGGTTGGTTATAGCACAATTGGTTTTGCCTAATCTTTATGTAAATGTGATACATTGCAATGAGGACATTATTAAGTCTGAAAATAACCATATTTTTATGATGATTTTTTACACTCTAATCATGTAGAAAAAACCCTTAAATTGAACAATTTTTCTCTGTGATATGCATGTTTATGAAACAGAGGGAAACATTTGCCAGATGAATGGACTAAATTTTAACTTCTCTGATATTATTTGGATTAAGAGGCTATATTCTGAAAGGAGAAAAAGGACTGTGATTTTATTTTGAGTCTATGGAATTCCTGAATGGTGTCAACAAAATTATTGATAGTAAGTATGGTAGACTTGAGTTTTGGGTTGTTCTTTTCTTTCCCTTCTTAACAGGTTTTGCAGGCCAGAGGACTGGCTTTATGAAAATAGAAACAAAGCTAAACAACAAACTCCATAGGTGTAATTTGTAGTTGTTAGTAGTTAAAAGACATTAACATAACATTCCTTAATAATTTTATAACCTACAGAGAAAAACAAGGATCTGCAGTTGTCATTTGGTAATAGATTTTTCAATTAATGATTTTACAAGACAAAAATACAGCAATTGTATTAAAAAGTAGAATTTTCTTGCAGCAAGTTTTTAATCTAAATCACACCTAAATCCAGACAGACTTTTCAATAGAATAAAGAAAATGCTTGTAGGTACAAAGACATAAAGATAGCTTTCTTATATATTAAAAAATAAAATTAAAAAATAAAAATTTCCTGCTTATAAACGCAAATATTTTCTATTGCCACTTACTAAAATGTATAAAACCATGAAAAATCTCAGAAATATTTTGTTGGTCTGCCACAGGACACTAATTTTTTATACTGATGAAGTCCCAATGAGAAAAAGCTTTTGAAGTGTAAGACAAACAACTTTTTGAGCTGAAATGTAATGAGATTTCCTGCTGCTTGTAAATTCCTTTTTCCCTAGAAAAGCAATATTGCTTTTTTTCTTAACTTCCTTACTAAAATCAGAAAATCCCTTTGAAAACAGAATTACTAACATAGGGGAAAAAAAACAGGAATAAAGCCAGAATATAACAGGTGTTTTCATTTTTTTTATCTCTTTTGGACTAAACGATGTGTCATAAAAATAAATTTAAATGGTTTCTAGGTTTCATTTTTAAGCAAGTTTTGGATCAAAAGAGAATCTGCAAACACAAAGTAATAAACCTCCAATTAAGGGGTTGCAAAGATGAGAAATATATGTACTGGATTGAATTAGCAGTTATAAGTTCTTTTTGTTCTCATACAAAAGCAGCATAACCTCTCTACAAAATATCCTTGATATAAAATACTCATAAGTTATTTTTCTTTGCAGTTTGTTTATAGTCTTTTTGTTATTAGAATTGAACTTTGGTGATTAGTTCCATCTCCCTTTGGTGCTTGTGTACTGAACAGGGTTTTGTGAGCTTTCAGTACGGTAAGTACTACAATGTTTTCTTATCTGCACTCATTGTGCTTTTTCAACAACCAGATAACATGTCTTAATTTTTAGATTATGAAGAATTACTGCTCTTAGCAGTCCTTAAAAAATACTTGATTATTAGGCAATATAATGGGGGTTTGCTTAGAAGTTAGTCATGTTGATGTAACGTCAGTGTTGGGACTGCAATATTATTTGTTATACCTAGACTAGTAAAAGAGCTAATGTCAGGATGAAGCTATCTGGTTTGAATTTGGAGAGAGAGCTTTGGAAAAAAAAGTTAAGCTAAACAGAAACAAGCTGGAGAGAAGAAAAAGGAAGATGTGAATGTAAGCACCTTATCCTACTTTGACCTAGTGAATAAAATACTGCACCTCCTCCTCTCATTTTTGCTTGAGTGCAGCCTGAAACCTGTCTTCCACTCACTACAGATCAAATGAATAACTCTTGCCTGGACAGAGCTAAGATTTTGGTAGCAATTTTTTCTACACTTGGTCATGTCTTCACCTTTAGCTGTTGTCCTGTCTTGCAGAAGAGGTGGCATTTTGTGGTCTTCCTTTTTTGAAGCACAGAATAGTTCAATATTTCAAAATGTTAATCAGATATCAGATCAGTACTGAGCTTGTGTCTCATTAATAATCTTATGGAGACTGTTCATGCTGTTTGTATGGAACTGTGTAGCATACTAAATATTTTGTGCTAGGCTGGAAGATTGGTATCCTCATAAAACCTTACACCACTCGAAATTCTGTCATGTCAGTCAGAAAATGCCATTGCTGAAATGTTAGTTTTGTACATCTTTAAATCACCTTGTTGTGTTCTTCAGACCTGCAAGCTTACGAAATGAAGTTGTCTGTCAGGTAGTGAGATAAATGGTCCTTCTAAACTGCAGGTACATGTAGGTCAATGTTGATGCTGACACTAGGAGAAAGGGGAAAACTTATTTTATGAACAGAAATAGCTGCTATGGTTTCAGTATTAATGTTCATTGGCTGAGGAACTAATTTAAAAATAAGACTGCAGTGAACTCTATTGGTTCAAATTGCATGAACGCACAGCATTTTTTGGCATTAGTCATTCTGTAAAAACTAAGTTGATGGCTGTACAGCTCCTATATATTATATACAAAACTGATGAGCTGATCCTTAAAAATTGCCTAAGAATAAAGTATTAAAAATAAAAAATAAAATAAAAAAAACCAAACCAATTCTCCGTTTCAATGAGAGAAGTAATTGTTACCTTTAATTGCAAACTATAAAGCATTAATTATAAATAGCAGTGGATCCTGTTGAACTGAATGGGATTTTTCCCTAGTATTTCTTAAAGACAGAACTTCATCCCATAAAATTTGCATTACAGTTCAATAACAGTTTCTGAATGATTTGTGAACAAATACAGGTGTGCTACATTTCCATATTTTTCACTGCTGCAATGTTAAGGGCTAATATCTTGACTTAATTTAAATTCCATTTTTTTCCCAGTTTTAATGCTTCCAAAACATTAGAACCTGAAAAAATCCAAGTACCTGTAGCTCTAAAGGCTGCTGGTTTTATTATGCAATATACTTTTTGCTTTATCACAGGCATGTGCAGTCCTACATGTTATTTCATCTTTCGGGTTTTGAGCATTTTTTATTATATTGTGTTGCTGTAATTTCTGAAAATAAACTGTCTATATTTTTGTATGAGTCAGCAGAGTAGGACTGTAGGGTTTTTATTAATTGATGCTGTATACCATTAGTAATGTTAACTGGTAAATAGCTGACTCTCATTTCTCAATCTGATACTTTTGCTCAATATGAAAACATACAGGATAATAGTTTTTTGAATGTTGCTGTGAAAGATTACTCAACTAGTGGTAAACAGTGCAGGAGAGATTTAGGTCAGTTTTCTAGTACACAGTTTTGCTTCTGTAGGCAATAATTCATAGAGAAATCACGCTGAATTCAGTTACACTCAAATGTAAGACTGTCATAAGAAATCATTATGAATTGCAGAATGCTAGGGAGTAGAGAGTACTGTCATAGTATACATGTATACAATTCCCCAGGGAATGTGTGAACCAGCCATGCTGGCTGGGTGTCCACCTTTTTCAATTAGGAAGAGTATCCTGGGCTTTGAGGATTTTCTGCTTGTTCTTCCAGTGAAGTACCCTTTCACAGATTGTATTTATATGCATCTCTCCTTCTTTTGTCAATCTACTTATTCATCTATTCTCTGTATCATTTATTTTTCTTCACATTTTTAATTTCTCATTCAATTTCATTTCTCTGTTCTCTATAATCCATAATCTTTTTTCCTTGTTTTCTATGTTCATCTTTTAAAACTTTCCTGTTCTGAAGATGTACAGATTACAGATGATTAAATTATTCTGTTTGGCATATGCAACATCTGTTACTGAAGCATTTCTTTCTTGTCAAAGTATTCTACAAATCCAGGGCATTACAATAGGCTCTGTCAGATTATTGGTAAATAAGAGGAAAACTGTATATATTAAAGAACCAACAATAGTGTTCAATTACAGTATATTTTCAGTTTGCACATGAATTTTAAGCAGCAGAAAAATCTTAAATGAAGACTATACACCCTTTTGAAAGCTGCTGCTTGTAAAACTGCATTTTATTGCGAACTCCACAATCTTCAGCTGTGCTCTTATGATATTCCAAAATCTACTGTGATAAGCAAATCGTTCATAGGTTCCCATGTATTAACTTCTTACTATCTGGTGAAAAGAAATATTAGAATATACTATTTGCTCCGTTTTTACTGTTATTTGCAGTAGAAAATTATTAAAATTATAGAATTTTGTAGCTCCACACAAAATGTAAGATTTTGTATTTGGCCTGTTTTCTTACACAGTGCTTATGAATTGGGTAAGAGTTTGATATTTTTGGCATTAGGTCTGGCTGACAGTTCACTAAAAATATATACTAGAGCTTTACCATAGAGAACATGCAGCAAATCAGCAGGATACTTTCACTGGAAGTTCAGTGAGGGACTCCTCTCTGATGATGGCATAAAATGTGAAATAATTATAAATAATTATTCTGAAATTTTGCCTGTACT